AAGGGGGAACCAATGTAACAGCAATATAAACAAGACCATCTGTTGGAAATAATCTATAACTATTGGGGATGGGGGAGGAAAAGTAGGGAAAAAATGAGGGGAGGGGTAACAAGTTTGACAAGAAATGTACTTATTACCTTACCTATGTAACTGTATGTACTTTTATGGAACCCCTCTGTCCATCACCTTGACAAAAATAAACTTAAAAAAATTGGAGTAGTGACTAGTTTCCTGATTTCTTCCACAAACTCTTCAACAATGTTTTTATTAGCATCAACTAACTGAACAAAGAAGTTTCATGGTGTTCATGTTGACATGTCCATCCATCCTCACATGCAGCGTATGTTGATCCCCTTTCTATCATGCTCCTTCTTTTCCCTTCAATGCCTTCTCAAACCAGTCTCAGCAAATTTCCTTGTTGTATTTTCACACATGTACATAAAATGCTTTGACCTTTGATCAATTCTTCCTCCTTCACTCTCTTCATTTGGCCTCCTCACTCCCATTAATATTCATATCCCAGACAGGATCATATTCACATCCCTGTATCTTTTGTCTTTTTTTTTTTTGGTAGTAGCCATTCTTACTGGAGGAGGTCCATAATACAACAGTGTGGTTCTTATGTACATTTATCTGATATTAATTTAGCAAAAAGGAAACAACTTTAGAATTAGACTTGAAAAATGAATGTGAAATATAGATACTGACAAGAATCCAGTCTTCTCACTGTTGTCATCTTGGCATCTTGGTGGAGGAGAGACTTTCCAAAAATTCTTAAGGAGGTGAAGCCCTCCTCCCACCCCCAGATGATGGGCTTGCTTGAATTCCTAGAGGCAGGGGCAGGGATCTGGACAATAGGTTACTGGACCTGCCAGATGTATACCATGAACTCTCCAGACTCTTTGAACTCTAGAACTCACTGTGACCCTGTCCCTTGACCTTGACCCTGTTTAGGCCCCAGCACCTCAACTGCCATTTTGCTCCATGCCTCTTGTCTCTTCTCAGGTCACGATGGTGTCAACTCTCCATTAGAATTCATCTGGTTTGTTGAGATTGTTTTTCTGCTTTTTCTTTGCTTCACTCTCCTGGCAGTTCAGTTTCCTAACAGTATTAAGTGTACTAGAGGCTGCAAGATTTGGGGAGACATATGTCCACTTGCAGTAGCTGGCTTTCTAATAAACACGCTCAACTTTACCTCTCAAAATGTGGCTTCTCTGTATCTCACAATTGAATTCCAGTGAAACAAATGTACCTAATTTTCTTTTTATGGACTGTCAATTGAAGATAAATCTCAGAAATCAATAATTAAACAAACAGTTCTTCGTGTATTTAGACAAAATGAGACATATGAGAGAAAGGATCCATCTTTTCCCTTATACATGGACATGAGATTTTGCTTACAAACTCATAAATAGATACATTAGGTGGTATGCAACTGTATGCAAATGTATTAATTGAAATGCAGTAGATGCAAAGGAGAACTCATATAGTATCATTCCATAGCAAGGCAAAGTTCAGCAAAATAAAAGACTAGTGGGTATTAGAAAGAAGTGAAGTGGGGCCAGGGAAAAGAGGTAGTGGGGGAAGAGGAGAAGAGGGGGAAAATGCCGACAGGAATCCAGTGTATATCCTACAAAATTAAGAAGAGTAAGGGAAGGGGTGGATAGAAGAGGACTGGGTGAGGATGTTGAGTGAGAATGTTAATCAAGATATATTTTATTTGTTAGGTTTAGTTGATAGGAAACTGCCACGTAGTCTTCAGTCGGAAAAAGAAAAGTTTATTCTGAATTGCTGGCCTTCGCACTGGAGCTGCACAGAAAAGAAAAGAGGTCGACACCTTGCGAGATTGGGGTTATGTAGGGGAAGGGTGGGGAGGAGAGTGGTCACTGTGGATGTGACCTCTGGGAACCTCCTACTGTCTGATGGAGGCATGACCAGGGTGATCCAGAATGTGGCCTCAGAGAAAGAGGAGGGAACTGCCCCCAGGTGTGCCAGTCACCTGGGCAACACAGGTGCTGAGTGAAGACTTCTAGGGTAGGGTACATAAGGTCCTGCATGGAAAACAGGGATGGGGTGTGAGTAGGGAAGGGTGAAGTCTATGTGCAGATTGGCATGGAGAAAAGTGACCCTTTTCCCAGGCAAACTGATCAGCATTCATTAATTGCTTTGTAAAATGGTAGTTCCTGTGAACAACTTCTTGTCATCAGATGCAGTTGAAGGTTTGTGACGTTTCCCTCTAAAAGTAGGAATTCTTTACTTAGGGTCCTTGACTTTGATTGCGGAATAAGAATTTCTGGACAAGTCACAATGGTAAGAAAACTTGGGAGAGATTTATTGAGTAAGTAAACAAGCAGGCAAGCAGACAAAAAGCAGAAAATCAGAGACATATTCTCACAGAGTGTATGTACTTTAGAGGAGAGACACAGCTCTTTGGCCTCAGGGTTATTTCTATGGTAAAGTCAGGGGGTCTTATGCTCTAATTACTCCTGGTGTTACACTTTCTGAATTTTTGGATATTTGGGGCATTTTTTTCCAGGTAAGAATGCATCCTGCCACAAAAAAGAAAGGTGCCCTGTTCTCTGCATTTTGGGTAGGAAGTTGCTTAAGTTTTGGGAAAGCATTTTTCTCAGGAAGGCACACATTCTACCAGACAAATGTTAATTCTTGGGATGAGAAATGCATCTCTCAGGAAGGAATGCATCCTGCTGTCTCTCTTTGAAGCAAGATAGTGCTTCGAAGTTTCTAAATACCAGTGTTTCCGAGTTGTCTTCACTAGGCCTCATTTTCCTGTATTTATCCTGTCTCATACTTAAAGTTAATAATAAAAAAGTGTCATATTACTTATTATTTGTTGGGTAATAATAAATGAATGCCTTCTTGGTATAACTTTGTAAATTATCAATGGTATAAACAAATGTTCTTTTATTTCGAAGCCAATGTATTTGCAATTGGTACAGAATATGGAGAAAAAAGAAATAAAATTATATATTGATTTATTTACTTTTTTTTCTCTGAGATTTACACAAGGACAAGATCAAATATCTTACTCCATGGAAGTACTTCTTTATTGGACACATTCGTAAAATAAAGAATTAAAGAAATAGAAAAGTGAAAGGTATCTGAAAATAAATTTGAGGCATGTGTTAATCTTAAGTATCACAAATGTTTATAAAGATTAAATCCCTCAAAGAGATGTTACTTTCTTATATTGGCATAATTAAATTTCTATATCTCAAGAATAGTTGGGGTTTTATAAAGGTTAAAAGTCCTTTGTAATATGTAATATCTGTACAAAATATTTTTATTTTAGAAACATTAGGAGCCACTTTTTATATTTTATATTGTAAGTTATAGTAGTCTACAAGCATAGAAATGAGATATGGTAAAATTTTTGAATCAATATTATTAGGGAGAACAAGAGAGGAAATGAACATATGAAGTTGAAATTCTCTCAGTGCAACTGTTAATTAGTAAGTAATGAGTCAAGATAGACTAGGGAAAATGAGGCATGGTCCATGGCTACCAGGAGTTCAAAAAACTTAAGCTTAAAGCAAATACAGGAGATATTCATTCATTTACTTCCCTTAAGATTAAGGGACCAAAGTTTTTTAAGGGGAAAATTGGACAGGATAAATTGAGGAAAATGAAGCATTTCCTGTGAAGGCAACTCAGAAACATGGTATTTAGAAATGCAGAAGCACTATCTTTGCTTCAGAGAGACAGCAGGATGCATTTCTTCCTGAGAGATTCATTTCTTATCCCAAGAATGGATGTATGCCTTTCTGAGAGAAATTCTTCCCCCAAAAATAAACAACCAGAATGGTTAACAAAAGCCAGAAACAGAAAGTGTTAATAACATTAGGAGTGACTGAGAGCAAAGACAAATTCCTTTCTTTAAGTCAGATACCCTCTTTTGTCACAAAAATACTCTTGAGGCCAAAGAGCTATGTGTCTCTCCCTTCCAGAGCACCTACACTCTGTTAGAGTGTGTCTCTACTTTTTTGCTTGCCTGTTTGTCTGCATCCCTACTTGCTTATTTACTGGCTCATTTGTCTACAGAACAAAGCTCTTCCACGTTTTCTTAGCATTGTGACTTGTCCAGAAATCCTTACTTTGTAATCAAAGTCAAGGACCCTAAGTGAAGAGTCCCTACTTTTAGAAGGACACTTCACAAACCTTCACCTGCATCTGGGACAAGTAATAACTCATTCTAAAAGATTGATTTTTGAATTGATGCTCCTATGATGAAAACAATCACAATATATACTAAATTTATTTTTGTATTTTTTTTTGGGGTCCAGTCGTGGGGCCTGAACTCTGGGCCTGGGTGCTGTCCCTCAGCTCTTCAGCTCAAGGCTAGCGCTCTACCACTTGAGCCACAGCGCCACTTCCGGCTTTTTTCTTTTTGCTTATGTGGTGCTGAGGAATCGAACCCAGGGCCTCAGGCATGCAAGGCAAGTCCTCTACCACTGAGCCATCTTCCCAGCCCTATTTTTGTATTTTAAAACAAGAAACTCAGTTTATACAGAAATTAAAAGTGGCACACTTTAAAATCCACACGCTTTCCAAGTAAGACTCAATGCAATGTGTAACACATGACCTGTAGTCATTGAATTTAATGAGCAGAAATACAGGATGTGAATTGTTGAAAACTGTTATGAAATTGTCAATGTTCATCTTGAGAATAGAGAAGAGAGTATGCAAAACTTGACACCCTACTTTTGAAATACAACCTGGTGCACAAATGTATCATTGTATCATGTCTTAAAATATACTATGAAATACATTTCCAGGAAATTCTGTGGAGAAAATAAAATTTGTTCTATTTTAAAATAATACGTTGGAGATACTTGAATGCACAGATCAGACTGGGAAACAGAAAATTGACTACGATGTGGTATATGACAAACATCTAAGAGAACAGAGTTCTGACAGACATTGATAAATTTTAAGATTTGACTTAGCTGCTTTTTTTTTATAGTCTCTATATTCACAAACATCTATTGGATTTTTTTGATGGAAAACACTACTTTGTGGACCACATCTTTGAAGGCTTGTTTTACTTGTTGATTCCTCAGGGTATAGATGAAGGGGTTCAGCATGGGAGCAACAGAGGTATTGAGAATAGCTACTCCTTTGGTCAATGAAGCCTTTTCTTTTGCAGAGGGATTAGCATACATGAATATGCAGCTTCCATAAGAGATGGAGATGACAATCATGTGAGAGGAACAGGTGGAGAAAGCTTTTTTTCTCTGACTGGCAGATGGAATTCTCAAAATAGTCCTGATAATATACATGTAAGATAAAATCACCAAGGCCAGAGTGAAGAGCAGAGTCACTAGAGCAAAGTAGAAACCAATTACTTCCAGGAGCCATGTGTCTGAGCAAGACAGTTGTAAGAGGGGGAAGTAGTCACAGGCAAAGTGGTCAATGACATTGGAAGCGCAGTAATCCAGTTGCAGCAGAAGCATCAGGGGTGGGAAAATGGTCAGAAAACCCCCCAGCCAGGCACACAACACAAGGAGGGTGCAGAGTTTTCTGCTCATGATGGTGGTGTAATGTAAGGGCTTGCAAATGGCCACGTAGCGATCATAAGACATGGCGGTTAGAATGTAAAATTCAGTCACTCCCATGAAGATAAAGAAAAAGAGCTGAGCTGCACAATTATCGTAGGAAATTGTCTTGTCCCTGGTAATAATAGCCACTAGAAACCTAGGGATGCAGACAGTTGTAAATGAGATTTCTAAAAAAGAGAAGTTCCGGAGGAAGAAATACATAGGTGTTTGTAGACGGGGATCCACGAAGGTGAGAGTGATGATAGTCAGGTTTCCAGCAACACTTAGTAAGTACGTGATAAATAAAAAGAGGAAAATTACTATCTGAAGGTCAGGATCATCAGTAAGGCCAAGGAGGACAAACTTCGTGATTATTGTATGGTTCATCTCCCTTTCTCTCTCCATCTCTCTTTCTAATCTTTTAAAAATACTTAAGGGAAAAGAATTAAAAAGAGATGATGAAAGCTATAGCTCATTATGATCAACATATCCTCATTGACAAATGTCTATAATTTTAATACAGAAAAAGTTAGGAAATCTTCTCACAGGAAGTCATCACATCATTGAGAAAAGGTGAGCAAAAGAAGGAATTTTTGCTTCATGTCCAGCGAATGCAAAAATGTTACCTTTTCTGTTGAATCATTCATGTGCACCATGTGTTTTCCTTCTTTTTCCATGTTGTATACACAGAGAGATTTCTACCACCTAAAAAGGCAAATAGATCATGTTAATTCTGTCAAGCGGTGAAAACAAAAATAACAAGACTATGTTGCAACTCACTAGTCTCTTTATATATAAGATCCCTGTGAGTGATTGTCTCAGCAAATAAAATATTAAAATTAAAAACATTATTATTAAATTTTAATGGAACTCATTTTTTACCATTAACATTTTGGGCTAGTTTTTAAGACAACGACAAAACAAAAACATTCTATGTATTATGTATATTTACTATGAGCATATAAAGTAATTCTTTTATTTAACAGTTAAGGATCTTATTTACTTACTGGTTTATCTTATCATTCCATCAAAATCTTTAACCTTGTTGTCTTGTTAGAAACATATATGTGTGCCTTGTTAGAAACATATATGCTTATACAGACATACTTATTTTTGAGTTTAAAGGGATATACAATATGTATTTATTTTTCATTTTTCTCTAAAACACAAATTGGAAAAATACTTGCCTTAATTCTTGGCAGCTCTGTCACTGGGATTGTAGTATAGTGTGTTTTCCATTTGAACTTCTTTCTTCCTTATATTATGTTTTATTCCACTGGATTTCTGTCCCCAGAGAACACACATCTTACAGATTCAGTCATCATCCACAAAGCTATCTAGAAATATGTAAGAAAACCTCTCCTGTTAAGTTACTTCCCATCTATTCAAACACTGGGTTTGATGTAGTATTCAGCTGTTTCTTCTGTTTTAGATAGTCAAGTTTCTGCTGTGATGGACAGGGTGTAAAATCATTGCTTTTCTGTCACACACTAGCGAAGTTCACAGTAATTAGCTTTCAGTATTGATGTTTTCTTGTGAAGGTTGAAGCAAAGTATTTCAGGAAATAAAAAGTGAAACATGAGCGTACTTTTATACTAGTAAATATTTCTCTTTAGTAATCCCACATAGATATTTGGGAAGTACTATTTAAGCAGAGAACACAGTATTGAGTATTAGGAAAATAGATGCTTAAGTTAAATTCTAGGTCTGACTGGTTGTACTTATAAATATCCAGTCTGCTTACTTTTGACCTCATAAGATTTGAACTTGGGTGAACAAGACAAAATCCAGGTCATAACTCTGCTGTCTTATAGACCATGAGGAATTTCTCAAAGCCATCCTCCAATATCTCAGTAGTCTTATAACTCTTCTCAACAATGGATCTCTCGAGAATAGTTATATTCATTTTAGTGCCCCACAGAGATCTTACAGTGTTGTCATTACAAAATATTTAGTTCTATTAATTGTTATCACTCCACATTTTATGCCTTCCTAATATTTCATGAATAATAAAAATATTTATGGGATCTGCTTTGTTTCAAAGCTGAAACTCATAACCAAATCATGTGTCATCATCTTTTTGAAATATAAATTTTCTATACAAGCTTTCTGATTGTTTCTTCCTAATCTGTATTATAGTATTTAGAAACAAAAATGCTATGGTGCTAAGTTACAGAATAACCATAAGCTGAGCACTGGTGGCCATGCCTGTAATCCTAGCTACTCTGGAGGCTGAGATCTGAGGATCTTGGTCTGAAGCTACACTAGGGCAGGAAATTTGGTGAGACTCTTATCTTCAATTAAATCACAAAAAAGCTAGAAGTGGTGCTGTGTCTCAAGTGGTAGAGTGCTAGCCTTGAGGAAAAGGAGCTCAAGGACAGTACCCAGGCCCAGAGTTCAAGCTGTTCAACCAGTCAAAAGAAACAAACAAAACCTCCAATCATGATTACCCATATATTTTACATAGTTCAATAGAAAGCTATGTAATTTAGTATTATTCTCATTAGTAATTATAATACATAATTGCATCATCAATTTTATCCTTCTTGATATTCATGTTGGCTTGCACATTTATTTATCAGTTCCTTGACATTCTAAGAAGAAAGCCCACAAAATGAGAAACTTTCATTCTGTGAAACTTTGGTCAGTGGATTACAATTAATTCTTGTTTTCAGTGTGTGTGTGTGTGTGTGTGTGTGTGTAAACTAGTACTGAAGCTTGAACTTCGGACCTGGGCTTTGTCCCTTAGCTTTTCCACTCTAAGCTGGCTCTCTACCACTCCCAGCTTTTTGATGGTTAAATGGAGATAAGAGTGTCATGAACTTTCCTGCCCAGGATGACTTTGAACTGTAATCCTCAGATCTCAGCCTCCTGAGTAGCTAGGATTATAGGCATGAGTTTGGCTATATTGCTAAAATATTTTGTCAACAAAGTATATGCAATATTATATTCAAGCCATTTTATATGCAAATATAAAACTAGTGATGCCTATTATATGAATTACTTAAAAGTTATTTAACAACTTAGTCAATCTATAAAAATAAGATACTAAATTTATATAACTAAATAATATATAACTAAATAATATTAACTAAATAATAACTAAATAGTAAGAGTCTCCAGGGCTAGCTTCAAACTGTGACCCTCAGATCTAAGCCTGTGAGAAGCTAGGATTAAAGGCATCCCTATTTTTGGGTTCATATTCCATCCTTCCAATGAAAAGGTGGGGCTCTGCTCCTTTTTTAAAATTTATTTTATTTTAAAGATGCTGTATAGAAGGGTTACAATTACATGAGTAAGGTAATGAGTACATTTCTTGTTGAGCATTGTTACCCCCTCCTTTGTTTTTCTCCTACTATACTTTCCTTCTCCCACTCCCTTGTGCCCCCCTCCCTCCCGCCCAAAATTGTAAAATTCATTTCTAACATAGTGTCTTGTAGGTATCATTGTTGCAGTGGGTCATCCTGTGTCCTTGTTTCAGCATTTTGTTATTCCCCTTCCCCTCCCCAAATTATATAAGTGTATATACGAGATAGAAGGCACCCAAATCAAATACAGTGACACCAAGGGATTTACCATAAAGAACATACAAAACAAACAAAAAAATCACATAGTACATTAAGAACAACAACAAAGAAGAATCTCTTGTGTCCATACCTTAGGGTTCATTTCACTTAGCATCATCTGTTTATTGAGCCATGTTTTTAGCCTGTTTTGTTTTTAGTTTTGAACTGGGTATTGCTTTTTTTTTTTTTTGCCAGGGCTGGCATGGGCTGTGATCCTCCTGTTTATGCTTCTGGAAGATGACAGTCACATGCTTCTGTATTCAGCTTTTCATTAGTTGAGGTATAGTCTCATGAACTTTTTGTTCATGTTGTCCTGGAAACATAGTTCTCTCAATTTCAAGTCTCCTGAGTAGCTAACACTACAGGCATGAGCCACTGCTCCGGGCTAATATGATGTTTTTTGCAGTCATTCACATAAAACTATGTATTGATACAAGTTTCTTTACCCAGTACCGGATAAAGAAGCATTTTGACAGATATGGCTCTACTTTCTTTTCTTTCCTTTCTTTCTTTCTTTCTTTCCTTCTTTCTTTCTTTCTTTCCTTTCTTTCTTTCTTTCTTTCTTTCTTTCTTTCTTTCTTTCTTTCTTTCTTTCTTTCTTTCTTTCTTTCTTTCTTTCTTTCTTTCTTTCTTTCTTTCTTTCTTTCTTTCTTTCTTTCCTTTTTTTTTTTTTGCTGGTCATGGGGCCTGAACTCTGGGCCTGGGCGCTATCCCTCAGCATTTCAGCTCAAGGCTAGTGCTCTACCACTTGAGGCACAGTGCCACTTCCAGCTTTTTCTGCTTATGTGGTGCTGAGGAATTGAACTCAGGGCCTCATGCATCTGAGGCAAGCACTTTACCACTGAGCCAACTACCCAGCCCCATGGCTCTACTTTCGAAGTAATACTTTTACCAACTTAATTCCTATTGATCAGTTTTATAGGAGTAATAGATGATATTATATTTTTACAAGTATCTTTCTCATCACAGAACCAGTTTCACATTCTGGTTATTCATTTTTTAGTGTATATTAATTGTCCTAAGGGGCTTCTTTACAGTTTTTCACATATACATACATTATATTTTAATCAGATGAAACCCCTTTATTGCTTTTTCTTTCCCTCTTCCTCCTAGCCCCTGTTACCCAACAGCTTTTAGTGAGTTTCCTTATGCCACATAATAACTTAAACTCCCAAAGAATCAACAACTTATTTAATGAAATGGTAAATAAACTGAACAGACAGCTCTCTAAAGAAGAAATGCAAATGACCAATAAATACATGAAGAAATGTTCAATAACTTTGGTCTTTAAGGAAATGCAAATCAAAACAACAATGAAATTTCTTCTCCAGTGAGACATGCCATGAACAAGACCATAAACAACAAATGCAAATGGAAATACAGGGGAGTAAGAACCTTCATACACTGTTGATGGGAATATAAATTAGTGCAGCAGTGGAAAACAGTACAGAAGTCCCTCATAAAACTAAAAATAAAACTACCCTATGATCTAGTGATATGATCCTTGAGTATATATCTGAAGGAAAGTAAGTCAGGATAGCACTGGGACACCTATACATATATGTTTATCAGCACTGTTTACAACAGCTAATGAAACATTGATACTGGGTGTTACTGGGGCCATCTTGGTGGGTAATAGGGAATTGAGTCTAACTGGGGCCATCTTGGTGTCTTGGTGGATGAAGATGAAATCCCACTCCCAGGTGATGGGCATGCCTAGATTCCTAGAGGCAGAGGCGGGGATGTGGACAACAGGTTACTGGACCTGCCAGACCCGTGCCATGAACTCGAGAGACTCTGAACTCTCAAGCGCCCTGTGACCCTGCCCCTGCCCATGAT